TATCTTCCCCCATACATGCTTTAAACATTGATCCACGAGTTTGGCTCTAACATCTTCATCACTTTTGTTGACCAGTTTATTTGGTTTGACATTAATGAAGACGATAATTACAAACAGGAAATGATATGTAAGGTAAAATATGTAGCATGGAAGCCAAACTCTTTGAAACATAATAAAAAGGAATAAACAAGTCAATACCTTTACACGATGCAGAATCTATATTCGACTCTATACGATTCAGTTCTAAACCTGAAATTTAAAAAAAAAATTGAAAAAGTCAATGATAAGTATTTCTTAATACTTTAAATAGAATCTTCTAGGAAATTTTAATTAGTCTCCGTAAGAATGGTCGTATGCTGTCATGTGCTAAACCAGTTATACCTTGTTATGGAGACTTTTCCTTCACTAATTTAAGGCTGAAACACTCCTTGATATTTGTAATCCTAACTTTTGAAATGATTTTGGCGCTCAGCATGTCAACGTCAACATGATCTAGAGTTTTTTTTTCTTTTATACCCATGATCAAACGAGGAAATTTCGATTTTAAATTTGCAAAATCCCTAAAGTAAATTTTTTCATGTCCAATAATGTAATGAGTCAAATAAAATCTTAGGCTAAAAAACAGCCATTTACTTTTCACTGGGAAGAAAAACATTATATTCACCAATAAAACATTGGAGATTATTGTTTTCTTTTCTTGTGATACTTAAGAACTTAAAACTGAGTTTTGTTGTACTGTATAAATTCTGTAACCCAGTAGGATTTTTTTCTTCTCCACCTGGCTATTATCTCAGCCACAAACAACAAGGAATGAGCCACATTTTTGGCTTTCTCTTTAACATATCCACTTACCACTTCCATCTGTGTAAAAATGACAACAACAGTAAACAAGAATTTCGAAGTCATATTTAGGGTAAAATATCTAACCAGAGCAAGATAAAAATACCTACCTTGCCTTTCAATTTCTTGTTTTATCCCTAACATTGTGAAGCAAAATTAGTCAATGGTGAATAATTTCTTAAAACTCTTAGCGGACTTTGCTAAAGGGATTGTTGAGTACTTCATAGGTGTTCTCTGAACTGCCATTAAACAGTCTTAACTCATATTGCACTCTGAAATAAATATGGCCCAATTCTGTCATATAAAGTTCACAACACAATGATCTAAATTTAACCACAGCAAAGTGGCCCAAGAAAAATAAACAAAAATCATTGCTGAGCTGAGCTTTGGAATTCAGAGTAAAAAGTGAGGAGGAGGAGGAGGAGGAGGAGTAGGAGGAGTAGTAGTAAGTGGTAGTAAGTAAAGGAGTGTGGAAGGCAGGTGGGAGGGAGGTATGAGGAGCAATACATAATTAATTCTCCACTCTCAAGTTAAGTGGAGCATAGATATTTTCTGGAGTTATGAAAAAATATTTCATTAATCTTACATACTTCTTTCCATTGCATTCTCTGTTTCATCGGGTGGATGGAAAGATAAACCTTGTGTGAAAGCTATGACAACTTCAGGTGTAAACACACACTTAAGAACACCATTTTCAGGCTGCCCAGACACAATTCCTGCCTCTTTTGGTGCAGTTTTCACTCGATAGAAGGTGAACTTCTTTGCCTCATATGCTGATCTTTCTATTGACATCTCTTCTCCACGCCTGAGAGCCCATCCTCCTACATCATAACCATCAATTGATATATCCACATGACAACCTGAAATGGACCAAAGAAACAAGAGTGTCAAACAATGGCCATAATACTGAAGTTTGGGGTTTAGTAATAAATTTTTATAATATGATTCAAGACATCACTGTTTACATACAGAGTTGTGAGACAACAAAATAGCATTTCTCAATTACTATTTTCACTCAAATGAAAATTGCATGCATATAATAAATGACAAATTAAACAAAAATTGTATTTTTAATTTAATTTTAGTAATTACTGAGAGTTCATTTAATAATATTAACACACATATTAAATAACAAATAGAAAATGCATAAAAATGTTAAGGTTGGAGAGCATGAGTGAACTCTTGCTTCTATCCAGACTTTTCAAATGCATGCAGCTCTTGATACATATGTAACTTAGCATATGTGAATTGTGTTGCAAGAAAGACTATATGGTCAATTTTCTACACTATAGTTTAGAAGAATTTGGAAACCTCCCCCTTCAGTCCTTTTTCCAGAACCCTTGGCTACAAGATCTTCCTTCGTTATTGTACATATTGTAATTGAACGTATTAACCCACTGAAACAGTTGCAGCTAAACATATGACAGGAGTTTTGCTTCTCATATTTAACTGTGCAGGTCATTTCATACATGCATGTCAGTGAGGCTCTGAAAAAAGGCTAACACTTAAAATATCAGCTTGAAAAACTCTCCATGATGGCCAATTTACTTCATCAACCCAGTTGATAAAAACAAATTATCAATACTAGAGAGGTTTACCAAGTTAGGCCATCAGGATTGCTGATCCCATTAATTTTTGGGTCAGTATTTGAATTATGAACTACAGATACATTGTATATGCAGTTCACAAACAGAATATATTTGACATGTTTGTCTCTTACCATAGGTATGTGAGTTTTTTACATGTATTTTATACTGTGTCCCACTTTTCATTTCCACAAACTCTCCATCTGGAGTTTTGAAGTGTTTTCCTCCTATTATTTCCACAGAATAGCCCTCGTAAAGAAGAAAGTTCACATATCGCACCGATGGTGTTCCATGGGCTGGGTCATGTTGGACTCTACCAGATGAAGCAGCCTGAGTGGGTCCTCGTGATTGTTGCCCCACAGCTGCAGGTGAGGGTGCAGGAGATGAAGTGTAGGAGCCTGGGATTTAAAAAGAAGAAGAGCAAGGTCCTGTTTAGCATACACATGTTCAACTTTAGATACCTTAGTATCCAAAAGTTTTCAAATAAAATAATACACTCTATGTAACCTTTTTCAATCATAAAAAAATAGTTAAAAAAAACCTAATAAGATCTTGCTAATGACCGATATAAACCTTTCACAGTCAACAAAAAAATAACAAGGATTGCCACGAGAAAAACTGTTGGATTATAAAATATCTCCCTCCAGCATAATAATTCAGCTTTTTTAAACTTCTCAGCTAATCAGGCTGACCCTAACACCACCTCTAATCTCTTAAGTTAGCTGTTAATTGTAAATCTTGCTGTTTTCATCTAACTAAATTTCAAATTAAGTATTTGAGTTTTTTACTTTAAACATTCCTTATGATGGACAATTTCTTAAACACAGTTGTATATCAAAGAATCCATCACAGTGTAATTAGCAATCGCAGACAGCAACATTAGTGTATATATTAAGAGTAAAGAGTGGTTCAGTGGGTATCCTTAATTGTTATGAACTAAAAGCTGGCAGTTAACTTTTTGTTTGATTTACAAGTCTCACCATCATTTATAGCCATAGATAAATTATCACTGCTGGCCACAAGGCAATGCTTTGTAGGAGTAGCTTCTCCTGCACCCCTGGGTCTGGTGACTGTGGGGGTACTTCCCAGATTCCCATCAAACGGTAACACTGATTGATGAGGTAGCTGTGCTGATTTCAAGTGTACAGCATGAGCTGATTGATTTAAGCAAAAAAAAATGTTCAGTCTTCTACAGGGCTGATATTGAATAAAATCTAGCTTGCTCTGGGGAACTTAATGGAAATATTTTAAGTTTCCAAGTTAACAAGAAAGTGGAGATTTTCTTGTGCAGCAAAGACATCTACCTATCCTTAAGGACCTCACTGACATAAAAATGCTTTTCCAAAGAGATCTATGCAAACCACATATTTGGAAAAAGGTTAGTTATAAGGTATTCCTTTTACAATCAGTAATTCCTCTTAATCATAATACCTTTCTCTGCACCAGGGTTTATTGTGTCAGTAGGATCACTCTCTGTTGTGTCAGCATTGCCTTGATCCCCAATTCCATCAGTCACTATGTCATCTTGCCCACCTGCTTGGTGAACAGAGCAACGCTTACTTTAAACTGATCACTATTTTGTCTCAAACAAAATAGGAAACTAAATTAGCATTCTCAAATGCTCAGAGGGTATTCTATATTATTCTCCCTTATCAAAACGCGACATATGCAGTTAGAATTACCATCAGCCTCAACACTGTCTGGTTTACTTGAGAAAACCTGAATTCTTTGCGCAAGATCCGCTCTGCCAATTGTATCAAACCCATCTTGCAGCAGGTTCAGGTTCTGTGGACTAATATGAACATCCTGTTCGAGTGCTTCAAATAACTTCAGTCCACTTTCCATATTTTCAGTCAGTCTCCTAGGAAGAATATCCCCTACAGCATAAATTAACCTCTCCATATCTCTTCTAGTCAGTTCCATAGACAGATCTATAAGCAGTTTTCTGTAAGGACTTATGCGACTCTCCTCTCGAGCGGATGCCATGATCCCAAATGGCGGAAGTGCGGGTGGAAGCGAATTTTTAAATTTCGTTCCCAGGGTCCTCTCTTATTATTCAGCATGATCAGCATGATATGAGAGATAGTTTTTAATCGTTTTCAGCTGGGTTTCTTTCCGTCCCAAGGCTCTGAACTCTTTTTAATTCCGACTTTCGGTTATATTAAGGTGACTCAAATTTGTAAGATCTCTCGTCTTTTTTTCACAGAGTTTGCTATCTACTGGTTTAGAGGCGCCAATCAATTACCAAAGGCAAATCAGATCTACAAGGTTAAAACAATTAGCACTGGAAATGACTGGGTATCACCTGCCCAGACCATAAACAGGTGATTGCAAGATATACGTTCAATTATTTATCGATCGGCTATCGCCCCAATCACAAACAAAAACCGTGTGACCTTGATAACCTACACACCAGGTGAAAAGATAACAACTCCGGGGAGTCCGTGTGTATGACGAATTTGATTAGTCTCTTTTGCACAAAGATCGTTGTGGCTCTTCTGTTTTACAAAGATTTGCAGTAATTTAGCATTCGAGTCTTATTTCGCAATTTTCGAGTGGTTATATCAATTTCTTGCGATTTTTATTCTCTGGAATGCTTCGCAAACAATAGTGGTTTCGGAAGATGAAAGTGCCTTATTCGTGGTTCGTTCTCCTATTTCTGGTAGGATTATTATCCTTTTCTGAATGATATTGAGGTATTTTTCATTTTAAGTGAAACATTTTTCATATATTTCCTCACTTATGACTAGTAAGGTGAAAACTTTACCGTTACTAAAATGCCGCTAAAAGATGACCATCATCAAACAACATCCTGAAAATTTCGATCGTGTCTCTATACATCTTTAAGAACTAAAAAATACTAATTCAAATAAATTAGGAGAGCTCTATCGACAAGTTAATTTTGTAAGACACTGTTTCTCTCCATCGATCGGGTACTCGGGTTGCTAATTAGCTTAATTACTTTCTTCGACCAAATTCTACCATTACTTAAATAATGATTATTTTTAAGTGAGACCGTATTGAAGAAGTTTTAAAAAAAAGATCGGGATTTAATTCGCCAGGCTTTAAACAACCATGAACCTAATGTAGGCATAGCTAAGGTATTTGCCTTGAGACTTTGGATTGTTTGTATGAACTATGTTAAAATACGCATACGATCTAAGTGTGTACATATTTGTTAACAGAAGCATCATTTATGTCTTTACAAATACGATGTAATATCAAGATCAAAGAGAAAAAATTTAAGACATACGATAATTTAAGAGCTATAACTAGTTTCAGGCCTCACGAAATGATTATTGAGGATTCTCTGTCTCTAAATACTTTGTTTAAAGTACATTATTCATCCTTCTCTGCGAAAGAAACATCTTAAAGTAAAGTATCGTTACAAGAGATATACTTTAATTGCTTTTCAGGTTGTGAGATCAAACGGAGAACAAGGTAAGTCTGATAATGAAAGGTATGTACCAGCGGCAGTTACCATCATTTCTAGGCTGAATCCCTTTTATCGTCAAGCTGTGACTGAAAATTGAACGGCTGCATCTGTCGTATTAAGTATTGTATTCTGGGTTCAAAATAGAACACTTCCCAGGCTCCTACGGTCATTTTTATCGTTTGAACGACATATCAATCACTAATAGATGACAGCACAGGCGGCCAAGCTCAAGTCTCGAGAAAAAACCAACGATTAATTCATGAAAGCGTCACGCGTTGTGTGACTCGGTGTTAAGTTACGTGAGGAACCGTTGAAAATTTGAACACGTTACAAGGAATAGTATGGGGAACCAAATGTAGTCGATTTACAACAATAAATATTTCGAAATATGAACACACGTAAAATCAATAAAACTTACCCACATTCTTTGTGTCCGTTGAAGTTTCCGACGATTTCTGCCGTTTTAAGCTTGCTTTACCATCACTGTTATTCATGTTAAAAGACGAAGTTCTCTATACTATTCCTTATGGCGTGTTCAAATTTTTAACGCGTGACGCTTTCATGAATTAACTGTTGGCTTTTTCTCGAGACGTGAGCTTGGGCCGCCTGTGATGACAGCGCTTTGCGTTAAAGTATCTCTCCGAATTATCACAAACCCAGACCTGAAAAATATCGAGTTAAGATAACGTAAACAAATATCCATATAGGCATTATTCCAAAGGCAACCCCTCTCAAGTTAGTTATACGTCCCCCTCGACGTCGAAAATCTCTGCAGGGATGTAAATGCTTTACCCTTTACAACGATTTTGCTTACGCAAATAACCCACGGAACGTCAACAAACCCTGAAAGAAACAACAAGGCTACGGGAAAGGAGCCTTATAAGTCCCGACATAAAGGAAAACTTGGTTATGAAAGGGTGAAATTAGCTTTACAGTTTGACCCAAATAAATGTGCGAGATTTGATCTCTTGGCTAGTTTCCTTTTTTTGGGTTAAAATCTCACCTTTTGCTTTCCACCTTAAATTGATTTGATTTTATGATAAGCTTATCGGAAAGAGCCTTTTTCATCAAATTCAAAATTAACATAACGGCTACTGAACTAAAAAGGAATTATAACTAAGAGGCAATCACGACTAAGAAAAAAGATTGCCTGAAGCGCTTGAAAATGGAGACTGACCAATCATTAAGATGAGAGAGTGGCACGTGTTTCCTGGATAGGTCCCAGAGGGTATGTAGAGTGCAGAAAGATTTTGTTATGCATCTGCTGAGTATTGATGAGGATGGTGTCTACATGTACTTACATGCATATTCCAAAAAAAATATTTAGAATGTAAAGTTCCTCTCGGCATGGAAAACGGCAACATACAGGACGACCAAATAACAGCGTCCTCGCAATGGAACTCAGCCACTCACGGTACCACCCGGGCTAGGTTGAATCTTCTACCAAGCTCAGGAGCGGGAGGTTGGGTGGCTTTACAGCACACAGTTGATGAGTGGCTCCAAGTGGACCTACGCAGTCAATATACGAGTGTTACAGGCCTGGCTACACAGGGGAGGAATGATCACGGTCAATGGGTGACAAAATACTACGTGCAGTACAGTTATGATGGAGTTAAGTTTGATTCTTACAAGGAAAATGGCCAGTCATTGCGCAAGGTAACAGACAGTAAAAGGTTGATCAACCGAATTTGCAGCTGCAATACATGACTGATCCATATGCCTACATGAGGTTTCCAGTTATCTCACCACACCAAGTTTCTCATTTATCTAAGTCCTTTTTCATCATTCCTTTGATGCTGTTACAATTAGCCACTTCAATTTGGCCATGCTTAAATGCAATTGTGATTCATTACAATTTCTGAAACACTTTTGATCAACTACACTACATTTTCCTTGATTTATTCCATTTCCTTTCTATATTTCAAATCCATTCTATATCCTATATATTGGGTGACCTAAAAACAGTATTACCTTTCATCTTTTTTTTATTACTTTTTCTGAAAGTTATCAATAACAACTCTACTCCTGGAAAAAAAACCTCACTATGACTCCGTATTTTTTGGTTTAACAACTTTCCTAATTTTCCCCAGCAAATAAAATTAAACAGCATAAAAACTGGTCTTAACCCTTTTCCACCTAACTTTAGCATTCTTGGTCTCTGTAGAAATCTCTTTCGTTCTTAAATTTCAAGTAACAATTTTTCTCTTCCTCTTCCCCCTTCGTATTCTTTTTGTACTCTTAGTTTGTTTTCGTGGAGTTTTAGTTCTTTTGGAGCTTTCGTTCGCGTAAATTTGTTACTCCTTTGTTTGGAATTTTAGGAAGTTTCGGAGTTTTTATAGCAGCCAAATGTTGTGGTTCATTTAACAAGTTTAAAACATATTTTCTATGGAGTTTAGACTCAAGCCTCTTTTTTCGTAAATTGATTATTCTCTCCACACTGTTCTCTGCATATTTCCAAGGGTACTGACAAGAATTTGTTCGAAAATCAGGAGCTTCTTAAAATGGTGATCATTTCCTTTATCCTCATGACCTACGCTTTTGATTCATAGGTGATGCTGTGGACATACATTAGATTCCATATACTCTCAGGGGTTAAAGCGTTAATGAGTACAATTATTCATCTCTTATGTCATTATACCGAATAAGGTCATGAGGACGTGCACAATGTGCCACGGTATAACTCTTTACCACAGGCAAAAATATGAAGCAACAAAATGGCAGCACTGAATGATTGAACGATCCAAACTTTGATATCGCTTTCTTTTTTAAAAAACCAACTTTTAAGTGCGACAGATTTATCTTTTGGTAACAAAGAACACTTAAATGGTTTCGTTCGTGTTTTTTTCGTCTTTCACGTACTCCTTTTGCGATCAATACGATGCACAGATGAGGCCGTGGGATGTGTTTTGCAAACTAAAATCGCAACACTAGAAAGTGAAATAATAGTGGAATAATAACTCCCCTATTCGACGCTTTAATTCTAATATAATACGAGCGGACATTTTGTCTATTGCTTGCAGTAAAATACTACGCAACTCGCAAATATCCGTGTGTATTGTATGTTAAACCATCGAATAAGGTGTATTAAATGTTTAACTTTTCCTTTCGGTCTAATTTCAGTTTTACTTCTGATTTCTAAAATTTTGTTCAAAGGAATAGTGACATCATGAAATCGGATAAAAGAGCGCTACTTTCGTCAAACTTTTTTCCCAGCTCAGATTAATTCCTAACATTCAACCGCTATTTTATGCTTTAGGAGTTTTCCGGAAATCAGGACCGTGATACAGTTGTATATCATGAACTTAACCCGCCAATCACAGCACGGTATATCCGTTTCCGGCCTCTAACATGGCAAGGACTTGTGTCAATGAGGGTTGAACTTTATACCTGTCTGCAAGGTACTGCCTGAATCAATTGACATGAACCGAAGCTCTGAAACTTTTTAGCGTGATGCCAGTAAGCTTTATAATGAGTGGTTAATTTTGTTGGTGGTAAAACTCGTGCATTATGCAATCTTTTGCAATAAACAATCAACAATAATTTATTAATGTAGGAGTTAAAATAGGAGGATATTGAATAAATAGCACATATTTGTGTAAAAAGATAAATATATAGATGAATAAATGAGAGAGTCTCCACCAATTTCACCGTTACTGCGATGAACAATTATTTCCGTACAAATTGGCCAAAAATGACGTCATTTCTGACGATGTGCGGACATACTTAGGCTCTACTTTTGACTTAAAACAAAACTTACTTTCTTCTTACTTTTAGTGTGCACTGCACCAGCCGTTGGTATGGAAACAGGTGACATTCTAGATTCTCAACTGTCTGCCTCATCGGGAGATCCTTCAAAGGCTCGTTTGAACGGAGTAGGGGCCTGGTGTCGACAATGGCCGGAAACTGCGAACGAGAATGTGTACATCCAGGTATTTAACAAATTTGAATCTGTCTGCCAAGTTAAAGATCAAAATTGACGAAATAATGATTAGGTGAGAAAGAAGTGAACTATTTAATGTCCAAATGAGCTTGCGAGCGACTGCTGGAGGCCGATTCTTTTTTTGTTCAGGTATTTTTTATTTCACCACGTAACTTTTCCTTATCGCTTTCCTTCCTCATAAGTACTGAGCTCCTGAAACTAATTTTTTTTTTCGCGGCTGTCTTTCCATAACGACTTTGAGTTAAGTTGTCTATATTTGTTTGGGTTGAGTTAGGTATTAAACACCAAAGATATGCAACTAGAATATCAACAAACGTGGCTGGGGTTGTTCTATAAAGACGATCGACTTTGTTTTGAGATTTCCTTATGAATGGATTTCGTAAAATAGTCATGGTCATAACAGTCAATCAAACGCAAGTGATATTTCAATTTGAGCCTTTGCGAAACCAACCTTAAGATTGTAAAGGCCTATAGATTCGAAGTGAGAGTGTGGCTTGGACTGAAGCAAAGGAAAATTAATGCAACCCCACATTACTTTTGACAATCCATTGCTCAATCTGATACTTCATGAGGATTTGATAATTGTAGGTAGATTTTGGCCGACCTTACCGTATTTGTGCAGTTGCCACTCAAGGAAATAATGCTGGAAACTATGATTACTTGAAAGAATACAAACTGAGATGGTCTGACGATGGTGTTAGCTGGAGGGAAAGTCCAGAGGTAAAAGAGAATTACAATGGAAACAAGAAATATCACAAAAAAACTGCCAACTCGACTGTATATATGATTATCATGGTATTCAACTAACTATACTACTTCAAGCGCTCTCTTTCCGACCAACCTCTATGCAAACATTAGAAGGAAGAAGAGTTTCTTATCAGATAAGTAAGTTTCATGCGGATAATGCATACAAACCAGGAATTGACTGAATTGGGGCAAGTTTCTCTTAAGTCCCGGTGACGTAACGAGTCTTAACCATACTTTTAAATCCTCAACTAAGAAAGAGTAGTGCCGGTCTTTTCTCAAAAATCCGTTACCTCTTTTCTTTGTCGTGTTGATCTATGGATTGAATTGCAAACCAATTAAGTCTCTTTCTTAAATACAAACAAGTGGCAAACAAAAATAAATTAGGTGATAAGGACAAGTGAGAAACAAGACATTCATAAGATAGCCCTTTGGTTGGACAGTTCTAATTGAAAACATTTTCTTTTCTTTGAGTCGCGGAGGTGACAACAGCCTTGAGACTAGCAACGTTTATTTCCAGTACTGCTTTTTATAAGTACTACTTTTGCATTAAATTTTCAGGTTCTAGAAGGAAATAGCAACGCACATGAAGTAAAGAAGAACATTATTCCAGTTATTTACGCTCGATATTTCCTCCTTATACCGTTAAAGTGGTATCATTGGACATGCACAAGAATGGAAGTTTACGGAGAACCTTGGCCAGAAGGTATATCTTTATATCTTATTTATAAATTTCAATGACGCTCCATAATACCACGTGCACGTGTATGTCTTTTTTTTTTCTTATTACAATTATCTTTCGTAGAGTTATATTTGTTCGACCATTCTCGTGACATGTGAAAGTCTCCCTCGGCAGTGCCACTGAGGATTAACTGAGTTAGGAGACCCAATCCCTCCGATTGCCCTTGAATATAAAGAAGCCTTTGGCCATCTGGTCTCCTAAGAGTAATGTTACATGAACCGTGCACATTTGCTTGATGTTCTCATGGACCATAGAAAGACTT